TATTTCCATTGTCTGTTGTTTTGGTTCCTACCCTTACTGCCTATTTCTTTGTGCACTTGGCTGCATTACGTTCACGGTCCTTGAATGACTTGCGGTTTGCTCCAAATAAAGGTGACTGTCCAGAGAGGATTTGCGTTCGCCTCTGCCAGGGATCTCCCTGAATACTACTAATCTGGCCACATTAAAGCAGATTCACAGTGACATGACTGGGGCTGCAAGCACACACGAGGACCGAGCTGCGTTTCCAATCTCCTAGAGAGCTGCTCTCCGCGTCACTGCCCAGGCAACTTGCCTCACAGATCCGTGACTGTCAGTGTGGGTCTGTGTAGCTTCCTGGAGCCAGGCCCCAAGCTCTGCAAAGCTATTAACCCCCGGGGGGTGGGGGGTGGGGTAGGCGGTTGGGATAAGCAAACACTCTCAGGGCAGGGTCAGTGTACTTGTAACTTCCCTTAGATTTTGGTCCTGTGACTCTTTACTGTCTGTTAAATCTTCAGTGCTTGTGAGATGATTTTTAGGATACCATGCACAGCACTTCTAGTGGGTATGCTGATCCCAAGAATTTCAGCTGCCATAGGGCTGTACGACCCCTCCTTCTCAGATCACCCCTAAAGGCAGCTTGAACCTTATATATAGGCTTAAGGAATTTTCCTCTAAATTCTGCTGCTTTATTTTAAAGCTGTTGTTATTTCCCTAGGCCTAAAAATGCACTGAGCTTAGAAGTTTCCCTAGGATGACAGGGTACCAGCTGGGAGGCAGAGGCGCCTGGAGCCCTTGCAGCCCAAAGCTAATGCGCCATGTGTCAGCATGGATCAGCTGAACCATGAAAGGAAAAAAAAAAAAAAAAAAAAAAGAATGAAGGGCAAATGGACAAGGAAGTGGGTCAAAGCCATGTAGCACCACATCCACTTCTGTCAGGGAATAAATGGGTGATTTTTCCTACCTTTCTTATTCTTCATTATTTTTCCCAACTTGATTTTTTAAAAAAATTATTTATTTATTTGAAAGTCAGAGTTACACACAGAGAGAGGAAAGGGGGGGGGGGAGAGAGAGAGAGGTCTTCCATCCATCCGCTGGTTCACTCCAGTTGGCCGCAATGGCCAGAGCTATACTGATCACAAGCCAGGAGCCAGGAGCTTCTTCCAGGTCTTCCATGCGGGTGCCGTGGCCCAAGGACTTGGGCCATCTTCTACTGCTTTCCCAGGCCACAGCAGAGAGCTGGAACCAAGTGGAGCGGCCAGGACTTGAATTGGCGCCCATGTGGGATGCCTACACTGCCGGCAGTGGCTTTATGCACCACGCCACAGTGCCAGCCCCTCCTCTAACTTTTGTTTCAGTCTCCAGTGTTATGTGTAGGGCAGGCAGATTGGGAAGGCAAGATGGTGAGGTAGACAGAGGCACAGGCAGGCAGGCGCTCAGATGTCCAGGTGCCTCAAGACAGCACTTACAGTGGGGAACGCCCACGCATCCCATCCCAGAGGCTGCTCCCCACATGCTTCACCCCGGCTCCCGCCCAGGACTGGGTGGCTGTGTCTTTTCCGAGGGGTAACCCACACAGATTCGTTCACGGCCACAAAACGCAGGCACCGCAGCTGCAAGCCAGGGAAGGGAAGCGTCTCTCCTTTATTTTTTTCAGGCAGCTTCCTGGGGGTCCTGGGGCACGGCTGCAGTCTTCCCCAGCCTAAGTCCTGATGATTGAGCGCATTTTCCAAACGGACCCAGGATCCTTCCAGGATCGCTCTGCTTATGGGCACGCCCTCCAGCACTCAACAAGTTAACAGACTTCTGCTGAGTACCTTCTGCACACGTGCCAGGCTGCGGCTGGGAGATACAGCGGTGAGTCAGAGTCTCTGCCCTCAGGGAGCCCGCAGTCTAGTGTGAACACAAATGCTCATCATCTGGGAGCGACATCTGCCGCCCTGGGGGAGGGGAGCACAGGCTGGAGGGTCCCCAGGGAGTCAGCAGGTGGAGGGCCTGGGGGCAGCTCCCGCAGGGCCCTGGGTAGGATCCCCCTCACGGCTGAAGGGAGGTGAGCATGGCTGGGAGGCTAGAGGGGCGGGAACCCACCGGGTGTGTGCAGACCTTCCACGGTAGATATTTTTTCTGTATTCTAAGAACTGTGGAAGGCCATTGAACTGTTTCGTGGGAGGAGGGAGAGGGGACTGGCTCCAGTAGGAAGCAGCCAGCCTGGATCTGCACCCTTGGAAGCCCGCTGGGGCCAGCCTTCCGGTGGGCGGTGGGCGCGGACTGGTAGCCCTGGAGAAGGTGGGGGAGGGGGTGCAGGAGGCAGGTCTAGCGCCAGACGTGGGGGCGGGTCCTGGGTCTCAGCCCTTTGGCTTCCTCTCAGCTCCTAGGAGTCTTGGGGCTGCTGCAGGGGTCCCGAGGACTGTACTCTTGTCTAGAGCAGAGACCCCCCCAAAGCCTACAGCAGAAGGCTTTGTGCAGGGTGGGCGTTTCCAGGGGCGAATAATAATAAAGGAGCCGGGAGGAAACGAGCCTTAAAGAGCCCAGCTTTTATCTGAATCCGCCCTGAGGCCTGGGAGAGGAGGGGGAGGGGAAGGACGGAAGGGCGGGGAGGGGGAGGGGCGGAGGCCGGCAGCTGTCTGCGGAGCCTACCGCCTGCCACACGGTGAGTCACCCTGCCAGCCCCCACTGCCTGCCTCTATTTTTATATCAGCGCCTGCTCATATCTGACTTCCAGCTGGCGGAGGGGCTCTGGTGGCAGAGAACAAGGACCCAGGGGATAATTTGGAAGTCTGCACGGGAATTAGAAAGCGACCCCTCTCTTATTAGGAGCACTTCGCCTTTTCTAATGAGTGGGTGTTACCAGCTGCGGTTGTACAGTCGTGAGAGGAGCTGCCAGCCTCCGGCAGCAATAAACGTTCTGCGAACGACAGCAGGGAGTCCACCAGCCCAACAGCCTGGGCTCTGGCACCCAAAGCCGCGGAGGGGGGCTCAGGGAAGCTGTGCTAACAGGCACTTAACTGCAGAATAGGGCTCCTAGAGGAACAGCAGGGACTGGGAGCTGTTCGCGGTGCTCAGCGCAGTAGGTGATCACAGGCGGTGCAGCCGAACTGACAGATCATCCGGGTCTGCTATTTGCAAGCTGCCTAACTAGCGCAGTCGTTCTAGTCTTTGAGCCCTGATTTCTTCCTCACTCCGTAAAGGTGGTAACGCACCCAGCTTTGAGGGGCTGGGGGATTACAACCAAGGGGCCAGCGGCCCTCAGTGTCCCTGTCGGCTGTGCTGCAGGGAATTCTGATGTGTCTTGAGTACAGCTTTGCCTTGTGTGTCAGAGAGAGAGAGAGTGCTGCTCTCACTTGGGTCTGTCATGGGTACAGACATCTTTCCAAGGTCGGGTTCAGAGGTCAAGGGCAAGGGATTCTCTGCCATGTCTCTTAGTGAAAATGTGTTGAGCCCATCTCTGCCCCATCAAGAAGACATTGGGGGCATCTCCAAGACAACCTTCATTCCTCCTCCGGGGCTCAGTGAGTGGGCTACTTGGAGCATCCACATCAGAGACTGCTTTTGAGGTCCTGGCTCCTCATGTTAACTCGCTTATCATAGCAAATCATAAGGGAGGTGTGCAGTATGTTAATCCTTCTCAGAAGAGAAGACTGTGACTGCCTCTTGTTGGGAGGAGCTGAGGGTGAGCTGGGAGCCACGTACCACTTCTTCTGCGATCTTTTGGGGAGGGATGGACAGCCAGGGCTGATGTGGCCCCCTGGATCCCCAGGACTGACGCTGGCCAGCCCCATGGTCTGCCTGCACACACCGAGGCCACATCCAGGACCCACCTCCTCCCCAGCACAGCTCCGAGGCTCTGAGAGCCACGCCTGCAGACACAGGCACTGGGCCACTGGCACAGGTCTCTCCTTTCTGGAGACTCCCAAGAGGCAGCTGTCCTCTCCATCCCGTGCTTTGCCTGACCCTAGAAGGAAGTGGAGGGACGCCTGTTCTTGTCTCCCCCCTCTCCTTGGACAAGTAAGCACAGCTTTAAACTCAAACTTTAAAGCTGAGACAGCGGCTCTGGAGGGCGCCTACCCAGGAAGTCTCAAGCTCTGGGCACAAGATCCAAGCTGGGAAGCCCACAGGGCTACTCGGGCTCAAAGCACAGGCTGGCTTCCTCGAGCCAGCTCCCACCTGCAATCCCCTGCACCCCTTCTCTGAGCCCTGAAGTAGTGGCCCTTGGCCCCTTCTCCCACACGTTGCCTCTGAGTGCCTCGGGTGCAGCTGCAGCAGGCCCCAGGCTCAGGGCACATGGTGCTCCTCAGCCTCTCTGATCAGATATTTCAAATACTTGCCTTTGGTGAATGAGTGCACAAAGATCATGTGCACCTTGTCCGTGACCCTGGGCAGATGATGCTGCGGCGGCCCCGGGGGGAGAAGGGAGAAGGGGGACTTGGCCCTGAACTGCTGGAGCATTCCCTTAAGTCTTGTTACTGTCAGGTGCGACCCTCAGGCATCCACACTGCTCCTACCCCCAGGGCTGCACCACAATCTCACTGCTTCACTGCCCATGGAGAACCGGGGTTGAGGGTTTCTTTTCTCTCTGGCCAAGGACTTGAGGGGCTGTGAGCTCAGGAGGTAAGCCAGAAGCAGTCCTGTTTAGCAGATACGAAAACTGGGGCTGAGGGCAGTCATACAGTCACGGGCTGCTGTCCATTGAGAAGTCTGGCACTCTGATCTGTTGCTTTCTTCTGGGGGACTGGAGGGGGGCAAGTCTGGGGGCAGCCCTGGGAACTGGGAGCTCTCGGGCACTTCCCAGCACACGCCCTCAGAGTCAGCTGGGGACAATGCTGGCCACCCTCCTTCAGCAGGTTAAGTTCTGGCTGGGTGTACACAGCCCTCCCCCTGCTCTCTCTCTCTCTCTCTCTCTCTCTCTCTCATACACACACACACACACACACACACAGCCTGCCCAGTCCTCCTAACCAGACCCACAGCACCAGAGCTGGGACTGACTGTGGCTCCTCTGTTGGCTCCAGAGCCTGGGGTGGGAAGAAGGCTGCAAGGAGACAGCCTGGGCTGGGCTCGCTGTGACAGCTGGGCCTCATGCCTGCCATTCCCCCCGGCAGGGTCATCCTCTCAATATAGGGTGCTGCTGGCATGCCCAGGGAGCGAGGCCTCCGGCTGTCCTCCTGCATTAGGGCAAGGCCAGCGGGGACGAGCTGGGGCAGGCGTCAGCTTGCTTCCTCTCCTTGCATGGCCAGGGCCTGAGCCTGCCTTCTGATTTGTGTGTATTATTAGGTCCCAGGGACTCCTGCTGCCTGGGTGAACCTCAGAGGGTGGGGCCAGAGGCCCACCCCAGTCTGTGGCGGGCTCCTTTCCGAACCTGAGATTAACCAGGGTCCTCCAACCCCCTTGGAAAGACACCAGAGCCAGCGCTTCCTCCAGGCAAATGAAGAAGCCACCTTTTGGTACTTTGAGTGCCTATATATATATATATATATATATTTTTTTTTTTTTTCTTATTTGAAAGGCTGAGTTGCAGAGAGAGAGGGAGAGACAGAGATCTTCCATCCGCTATTTACTCTCCAAGTGGCCACAAGGGCAGGTGGAAGCCAGGATCCCGGATTTCCATCCGGGTCTCCCACAGGGGTGGCGGGGATTTAAGTACTTGGGCCGTCTTCCACTGTGCTTGCCCATGCACAATTCCTAGGGGACTGGATGGAAAGTAGAGCCCCTGAGACCCAAGCGGTGCTCTGATATGAGATGGTGTTGTCGCAGGCAGGGTTTCCGTGCCTTTTCTTGCAGGCCTGCTCGCTCAGCTCCCCTGCTCTTGCACCCTATACCGGTGAGTCCTTTCCTTCCTATAAATGAACCCGGTCATGGCTGACAAGAGTTAAATTGCTTTCTCCCCTGTTTACCAGGGTGGTTAATATTGTAGTTCAACAGAGGGGTCAATTTTGGAAATTGGGAGGGACTGTGGCCAGAGGGGCAAGTGGGGCCTCCACCCAGGGCACGTGGACCACCTTGCCCCTGCAGGCTCACACACAGGGCCCTGTTAGGCTGAGCTGTTGTGATGGAAGGAAAGTACTCCCATCTTTCCTTTCCTTCTGTTTGATAATGGCTGGTGCAGGAGGGAGACGGTGCAGCTTTCCACAGAGTGGCGGGAAAAGACAGGCGTCTGAGGATAGTGGACCCCTTTCAGTCACAGGGGAGCAACCCCAAGACCGCGGGGAGCTGGAGCTGACCCTCTGTGTGGGTGGCACTACCTCGGGCCCGCCCATCTCTGCTTCCTTGCAGGTGCACGGCTGGGACCTTGGCCAGGCCCTGGCAGTGGAGCTGGCTGGATTTTACTGCTCCTCACTCTGATTTGAATACCTGTGTGAAAAGCTGAGCACCACTGGAGAATTCCTAAGAAACTGCGCACGCGGAGCTGGACGCACACAGCCTTGCGGGATCCAGGGTCCGCGAGGGCATTCGTGCACGGCTGCTGTCTTCAGCCAACTGCCAGTTTTTCTCAAAGCAGGCGCCCCACAACCCAACCTCATTTGCATCCCCTCACCACCTTCGGCCCCCAACTCCTGCCTCAGGAGGGCAGGGGCTCTGTGACCCAGGGGCCTGATCTTCCACAGAGTGAATAGCGGAAACAGGCGTAGCGATCACCTCTGGGGTCTCTCTGCTCTGACCCCTGAAGTCCTGGACGATTGGCTGGCGTCTCTCACCTCACGGAGCCGCTGCACCAACGTGGATTGGGTACAAGAGGTGAGTAAAAGCGGCTTGCCTTCCACAGCCCTGGGGAGGGAAGAGAGAGGCGAGGGAGGCCGGGGGCCAGGAACTCTGCCTGGGGTGGGTGATGGGGGCACTGCCTCTGAAAACCAGACATCAGAGACTCCCCGCACAAAACCGGGTTCTGTGATGTTGGACCGCTCATTGCCATCTTCAGGGAAGGCTGCCTCACTCACACAGGTCTTGTTTGCTTTCAGCTCCCTTTTCCTTCCAGGGAGTTATTTTTGGTGGCAATCAAGGAAGGGGCTGAGCCCAACCTTGGCAGATATGGGACAGCTGGGGACAGTGCGCCTGAGCGGAGAGGAGGGTAGTGAGCCTTGGAGAATGCTTTGTTGGAGCCAGACAGCCTAGCAGGATTAGATGCCTCATAACGCTAATGCCAAAATGAGGACTTGGAATCTGTACTGCACTTAGCATAAAGGGAGTAAGTGCTATATGAATTTTTTAAGAAATTGAAGGGAAGAACTTTTTTAAGCTTTATTTATTTATTTGAAAGGCAGAGTTACAGAGAAGTAGAAAGAGAGAGAGAGAGAGAGGGAGAGAGAGGTTTTCCATCCACTAGTTTATTCCCTAGAGAGCTGCAATGGCTGGAGCTTGGCTGATCTGAAGCTAAAAGCCAGGAGCTTCTTCCAGGTCTCCCATGTGGGTGCAGGGGCCCAAGGACTTGGGCCATCTTCTACTGCCTTCCCGGGCCACAGCAGAGAGCTGGATCAGAAATGCAGCAGCCTAGACTTGAACCGGCACCCATATGGGATGCTGGCGCTGCAGGCGATGGCTTTACCTACTATGCCACAGTGCCAGCCCCAAGGGGGCAAACTTTTAAAAAAATAATTAATTAGAAAAGCAAAGTGGGGGCAGGAGTCGCCATCATGGGAGTCAACATTCGCCACAACAAGGACCGGAAGGTTTGGCGCAAGGAGCCCAAGAGCCAGGACATCTACCTGCGGCTGCTGGTCAAGCTGTACAGGTTCCTGGCCAGACGCACCAACTCCACCTTCAACCAGGTGGTGCTGAAGAGGCTGTTCTTGAGCCGCACCAACTGGCCGCCCCTGTCCCTGTCACGGATGATCCGGAAGATGAAGCTTCCCGGCCAGGAAAACAAAACCCCCGTGGTCGTGGGGACCATCACGGATGACGTGCGGGTCCAGGAGGTGCCCAAGCTGAAGGTGTGCGCCCTGCACGTGACCAGCCGTGCCTGCAGCCGCATTCTCAAGGCCGGGGGTAAGATCCTCACCTTCGACCAGCTGGCCCTGGACTCCCCCAAGGGCCGAGGCACGGGCCTGCTCTCCGGTCCCCGCAAGGGCCGAGAGGTGTACCGGCATTTCGGCAAGGCCCCCAGAACCCCACACAGCCACACCAAACCCTACGTGCGCTCCAAGGGCAGGAAGTTCGAGCGCGCCAGAGGCAGATGGGCCAGCCGGGGCTACAAGAACTAACCCTGTGGACCGCGCAGTTAATAAAGATGTTTTGGATGTGGAAAAGAAAAGGGGAGGGGAGGAAGGGGAGGGGAGGATATTCCATTTGATGATTCACTCCCCAAATGGCTGCAACAGCTAGGGCTAGGTCAGGCTGAAGAAAGGAGCCCAGAACTCCATCCAGATCTCCCACATGGGTGCAAGGGCCCAAGGATTTGGGCCATCACCTGCTGCTTTCCCAGGCCCATTAGCAGAAGTGGAGCAGCCAGCACTCGAACCGGCGCTCTGATGTGGAATGCCAGTGTTGCAGGTGGTAGCCTCATCAGCTGTACCGGACCACCAGCCCCTATTGAATACATTTTTAAACAGTCCATAAATTAACAGCACACAGGTAAATATGAACATGGAAACAAGATTCTCCATCCTGGGGTCTGGCGTTGGCTTCAGCCTGGCCCAGCCTCAGCCTATGCAGCCATTTAGGGAGTGAACCAGCAGAGGGAGGGTCTCTCTCTCTGAAACTCTGCTTTTCAAATAAATAAATCTAAACAAACAAACACACACACAGAATCCCATCCTGTGGTGAGGGAGAGGATGCTGCTGGGTTTCCCATGTTTCCAACAGGCACATTCAGCTCCCTCGTTGCAGCGTGGTTCCAGTAGGGGTGGAAGGCAGTGCTGGCCTCTTGGTTGGCCCTTCGTCTCCTGGGATATCTCCTTCTCTGCCCCCTTAATACACCTGAAGCACCTTAGGAACTTTCGATGCCACCACCAGCACCTTCTACCAGCTGAAGATCTTTGCTCCAAAGCCTCTGGGTGCCCCAGCTGGCTTGGGAGAGCCCATGGGGCTTCCTTTTCCTGCGTGGGGCCGTGCGTACAGGTGCTGCCTCAGCTCTTGCAGGAAAAGACCACTCCAGCCCTCCCCAATCACAGCACTGTCCTCCCACTTCCACATGGCTCAGGCTTCAGTGTCACAGCTTGAGTTCTGCCTTCACTTTTGGGGCAGATGGCAATGACTGGTTGTTTTAGAACCCCCTGTGGTGAGGGATGGGGTGGAGACAAGGCCCTGTTCCCATCCAACCACCCCTCCTCCTCTGCACCTGAACTTAGGACTTGCTCACTCAGAAACACCCAAGGCTCACAGCTCCTGGAAGCTTCGAGATGAAAGGCAAAGAATTCTGGGCTCGAAAACAGCTTGGAGCTTTTCACCAAGGTGGTACTGAAGGCAAAGAAGCTGACAGCTCCTGCCCCTCCCAAAGCCAATGCAGAAGCCAAAGCAAAGGCTTTGAAAGCCAAGCAGGCAAGGTTGAAAGGCATCCACAGCCACGACAAAAAGAGGATCCGGATGTCACCGGGTGTTCTAGTGGCCCCAAGACACTGCACGTCTAGCTGCAGTCCAAATAGAAGCAACAAGCTTGACCACTGTGCCATCACCAAGTTCCCCTCACCACCAGTCCTCTCATGAAGAAGACAGAAGACATCAACACACTCGCCTTCATTGTGGATGTCAAGGCCAGAAAAGACCAGATCAAACAGGCTGTGAAGAGACCTCTCTGACACTGATGTGGTCAAAGCCAATACCCTGAGCAGACGTGGTGGAGAGAAGACAGCACGTGTTCAAAGGGCTCCTGATTATGATGCTTCAGATGTCACCAACAAAACAGGCATCCTTTAAACTGAGTCCAGCTGGTTAATTCTAAATATATGTCTTTTCACACCTTACCTGTTCCCTTGGGAGCAGTGGTGTGGTGGACACAATAATGGCCCCTGAAAAATGTTCATATCCTGATCTCTAGAACCTGGGAATGTGTAACCTTATATGACAAAAAAAGGAGCACGTTTTCAGATGTGGCTAAGATACAGGTCTCTGTAGATGGGGGAGTATTCTGGGTTATCCAGATGGGTCCAATGTAATCACAAAGGTGCTTATAAGAGAGAGGGAACGGCAGGTGTTTGGGGCAATGGTTAAGATGCTACTTGGTGTGACTGCATAGCATATCGGTGTGCCTTGGTCCACGTGCTAACCCCACTTACAACTCCAGCTTCCTGTTAACACACCACCCTGGCAGGCAGCAGGTGATGGCTCCAGTAGTTGGATCCCTGCCACTCATGTGTGAGACCTGGAGTCCTGGCTTCTGGCTTCACAGAGGCTTAGCCCTGGCTATTGCAGCCATTTAGGGGAGTGAACCAGCAGATGGAATATTCTGCCTGACCCCCACCCTCTGAAGTGACAATGGTCAGGATTGGACCAACTAGAAGCCAAGAGCCTGGAACTCCACCCAGGTCTCCCAGGTAAGTGGCAGAAGCCCAAGGACTTGGACCATCCTCCCCTGCTTTTCCAGGTGCATTAGCAAGGTGCTGGATTTAAACTGGTATTCAGATGAGTTGTGACTTAATCTGTTGTGCCACAATGCTAATTCCAAAATAAAGTTCTTGAAATCACTACGTTTGTGGTCATTTGTTGTAGCAGCCATAGGAAACTACCACAAGGACACTTATGGGCTGATTTCCCTCTTCTGTTATGGGCTAAAATATCTACAGAGGTCACAGAGACCATGATTTAAAGGGGGCATGTTTTACTTTGGGATCTATATTAGAAACAGCTAACTTGGGGCTGGCACTGTGGCATAGCAGGTAAAGTTGCCACCTGCAGTGTTGGTATCCCATATGGGTGCTGGTTTGAGTCCTGGCTGCTCCACTTCTGATCCAGCTCTCTGCTGTGGCCTGGGAAAGAAGTAGAAGATGGCCCAAGTCCTTGGGGCCCTGCACCCACATGGAAGGCCTGGAATACCTGGCTCCTGGTTCGGATGGGTGTAGCTCTGGTCATTGCAGCCATCTGGGGAGTGAGCCAGTGGATGGGAGACTTTCTCTCTCTCTCTCTCTCTCACTAATCTCTCTCTCTCTCTCTGTAACTGTGCCTTTCAAATAAATAAAATAAATCTTTAAAAAAAAATAAGAAAAGAAACAGCTAGCTCCAGGGTAATTAGCATTGATTGCTGTGCTGGGTTCTAAATGCTTCTACACCAAAAAAGCAAATTAATCTGCATCAGATCTGCATCAGCCTTACTTGGATGCAGGCGAACTGGCTTTCCTTTCTTTGGAATTCTGGCTGACTTCTCTTTGGAAAGCAGTCATTATCTGCCTTTGCTATTTAGAGAGCCTTCTTTCCCTGAATATCAGGATGACAACAGTTTCCTGTAGATAGATCCTCTGAAGCCTGAGGATTTATTTTCACACATTAGTTTTCCTCTCTACATAGCAAAATGTCTCCAGGGAAAGGCAGCTTTTCCCGAGCTGGGCGTGTAGGATGGAGGCGTTCATGTGTGTGCACGTGTCTGTGGGCGTGTGGGTTCCCAAGCATTCTAAACATTGCCAGAAATAGACGGGCTAACCCTTTAGGGAGATGGATGAAGTCTTTCGAAAACCCACTTGTTTCTTTGTTCATTGTAACTGATTCCGGATTGAACAGGAAATATGTCCCTCGCAGTCAGGTTGGCACGCCAGCAGGAGCCTCCACAGATAGAAGTCTTTGGTGATCCTGCAGAAAACCAGCATCCAGGGATCCACAGTGCTACAATGGGATGGCAGCTTAGAACTGGTAAGACAGCACTTGCCTTTCCATCATCTCAAACTCTGATGTAGAGACTGCTGTTCTCATTTCACAAATAACAGTCTTTTTTTTTCCTTTTTTCTTTCTTTTTTGAGAGCTTGATGTCTGGCAGAGTTTGTGCTAGGCTCCTTCTCCGGAATGGCAGCTGAATCCTGGTCCTCTTCCTCCCCCACCCTCCAGCAGCTGGGGCAGTTTGCCCAAACTGCTTCACTTCATCTGTGCCTCCATTTCCTTCTCTGTAGCAGAGAATAATAGTGTTGCTGTCCTTCAATTGCTCCAAGCAGGACAGGAGATGGTGTTCATAAGGTCCTTACAATGGTGCCAAGCACACCTGAGGCCCCCACGGCATCCCCTGGACACAGGTATTTGTAGCTGGCTCTTAGGGGTCACTTGTCTTCACACAGATAGTAACTTGAATTGGATTTGCTTGAGTCGTGTGTAATAATTGATTGTTGGGCAACTGATTTTCAGCAAGACCACTCAATGCAAAGAGAACAGTCTTTCAACAGTTTTGGGAAAACTGGATATTCACATGCAAAGAGAAGAGAGTGTCCTACCTTACTCCATATACAAAAATAAACTCAAATTAGCTCATAAGCCTAAATGTAAGAGGTAAAACTATGAAACCTTAAAAAATTTATTTATTTGAAAGAATTACATACACACACACACACAGAGAGAGAGAGAGAGAGAGATCATCCATCTACTGGTTCACTCCCCAAATGGTCACAACAGGTGAGTGCAGGGGCCTGAGCACTTGGGCCATCTTCCACTGCTTTCCCAGGTGCATTCAACCAGAAGCTAGATCAAGAATGGAGCAGCTGGGACTCAAACAGAGACCCTGTGGGCTTTATCCGCTATGCCACCACACCAGTCCGCTGTTATGTTTGTTTTTTTTTTTTTTTTTTTTTTTTTTTTTCTAAGAGACCCAGAGTTGGGGCCAGCATTGTGGTGTAGTGGGTTAAGCCATGTTCTGAGGTTCTGGCATCCCATATGGACACCAGTTCAAGTCCCGGCTGCTGCACTTCTAATCCAGCTCCCTGCTTATGTGCCTGGCAAAGCAATGGAAGACGGCCCAAGTCTTTGGGTCCCTGCACCTACATGGGAGACCTGGAGGAAGCCCCTGGCTCCTGGCTTCAGACCAGCCCAGCTCTGGCAGTTGCAACCATTTGGAGAGTGAAACAGGATGGAAGACCTCTCTCTCTCTCTCTCTCTCTCTCTCTCTCTCTCCCCATCTCTCCCTCTTCCTCTCTGTAAACTCTGTCTTTCAAATAAATAGATCTTTTAAACAACAGCAAATATTTCTGACCTTACATTACGCAATGTTTTTTTCAGAGACGACACCAAAAGCATGAGTAGCAAAAAAAAAAAAAAAAAGATAAATTTGACCTCATCAAAATTAAAAAGTTTTGGGCTCCAAAAAGGAGACCATGAAGAAAATGAACAGGCAATCCACAAAACTGAAGAAAATATTTACAAATCAGGGCCGGCATTGTGGTGTAATGGGTTCAGGTACCACCTGCAGCACCGGCATCCCATGTGGGTGCTGTTTCCAGTGCCAGCTTCTCCACTGCCCATCCAGCTCCCTGCTAATGTGCCCAGGAAAGCAGCAGAGGATGGCCCCAAGTACCTGGGACCCTGCACCCATGTGGGAGACCTGGAAGAATCTCCTGGCTCCTGGCTCCAGGCTTCAGCCTAGGCTAACCCTGGCCATTGGCAGATGGAAGATTTCTCTGTGTCTCTCCTTCTCTCTTTGTAACTCTACCTTTCAAATAAATAAATCTTTTTTTTTTTTTTTTTTTGACAGGCAGAGTGGACAGTGAGAGAGAGACAGAGAGAAAGGTCTTCCTTTTGCCGTTGGTTCACCCTCCAATGGCCGCCGCGGCCGGTGCGCTGCGGCCGGCGCACCGCGCTGATCCGATGGCAGGAGCCAGGAGCCAGGTGCTTTTCCTGGTCTCCCATGGGGTGCAGGGCCCAAGCACTTGGGCCCTCCTCCACTGCACTCCCTGGCCACAGCAGAGAGCTGGCCTGGAAGAGGGGCAACCAGGACAGAACCGGCGCCCCGACCGGGACTAGAACCCGGTGTGCCGGCGCCGCAAGGCGGAGGATTAGCCTAGTGAGCCGCGGCGCCGGCCCAAATAAATAAATCTTTTCTAAAGAAAAAGAATTAAATGAAAAGGGAAGAAAAAACTTTTTCTGGTTTAATAAAAAGGGGCCCCCCCCGCCCAGCCAGATAAAATAACTCCTCAATTTCAACAATAAAAACAAATAATTTAATTTTAAAATGGGCAAAAGATTTGAATAGATTTTTCTCCAAAAATAAATAAAAAATAAATGGCCAGTAAGCATATGATGGGTAACATCATTAGTCATTATAGAAATGCTAATCAAGGCCAGTGCTGTGGCTAAATAGGCTAATCCTCTGCCTGCGGCCCTGGCACCCCGGGTTCTAGTCCCGGTTGCTCCTCTTCCAGTCCAGCTCTCTGCTGTGGCCTGGGAAGGCAGTGGAGGGTGGCCCAGGTCCTTGGGCCCTGCACCCACATGGGAGACCAGGAGGAAGCACTTGGCTCCTGGCTTCAGATCAGCTCAGCGCACTGGCTGTAGCGGCTACTTGAGGGGTGAATCAATGGAAAAAGGAAGACCTTTCTCTCTGTCTCTCTCTCTCACTGTCTAACTCTGCCTGTCAAATAAATAAATAAAAAAGAAATGCTAATCAAAACCACAGTGAGTTATCACTTCATACCTGCTAAGATGTAAAAAAAAAAAAAAAAAGATTATAACAAGTATTGGTGATGATGCAGAAAAATTACAACTCTCATGCCTTGCTGGTGGGAAGTGGTATGCTAATCCCACCAAAAGTTAAACAGAATTGCCACATGAGCCAGAAATCCACTTCTAGGAATAGGACTAGAGTGCGTGTATAAGCAAAATAACTGAGGGCCGAGAAGATACTTGTACACCCATCCGTGTTCACGGAAGCATTATTCACAGTAGCCAAAAGGAAGAAAAACCCAAGTACCATCAACAAATGAATGGGCAGGGAAAAAGGAAGAAAAAGAAGCCTGGTCTATCCATACAATGGAATATGATTCAGCCCTCGGAAGGAAGGAGTCCTGCTGGGCATGCATGAACCTTGAAGCCACTGTAACTGAGGGAGAGAAGGCGGGTGCAAACAGCCACAGTGCGTGTATGACATATCCGGAGTAGGAACACCCACAGGAACAGAACAGACAGCTGGCTACCAAGGGCTGAGAGGAAGGGAGTGGGGTGGGGAGAGAGTAACTGCTTAATGGGTGAGTGGTTGCATTTTGGGGGCCATGGAAATGCTTTGGAATCAGGCAGAGATAATGGCTGCACCACCATGTGACTTGCAAATGCCACTGCCTTATGGGTTCACTAGAACATGGTTGATTTTTATCTTCCATCAGTTTCATCTCAGTTACTTCTTAGCTTAAGTATTTTATTTGTTTGCAACTAAGCTTGTTAACACTACATAATGAAAATATATGACGAATCAGGTTGCAGCCTTTGTTTAGACTTAAGCCAACACATTCATTCCTAAGGAATCTTGGAATGTGAATATTCCAGAAATGTCTCTAAACCATCTGATCAGAACAACTGTCTCTGAACACAATCTTACTTTGGAAGATACTGGAATACATTTGAATTAAACTCCACATTTTTCAAAATAAGCCCTAATTAAAAAAAAAAAAAACTATTGTAAATTCAATCGAAAACAATTTTACTAGAACTTTCCAGAAACAATAATAGAAACAAGGCATTTTGTAAAATGTGGTCCTGAACAAGTCACAGTAAATAATTGATGTCTACTGAACCTCCAGCTTCTCAAAACAGAGGCTACACCCCATCCCCCAGCCTTGGAAACAGGGTTAAGAACAGCTTGGAAGCAACATCGGGCAAGGGGTTGCCCAACAAAGCTCAAGCAGTTAAACTTGGAACCTCCTAAGAATCTGGGGGAACCTGATGCAAGGAGCCAACTTCTGCCTCTAAGAACCAATGCTAAGGTGAAATGCCTCCTCCCAACTAAGCAGAGCTCCTGGGGCCTGGGGCTGCCCTGTTGCTCACCCATGTTAGACTCCCGCTCCAGGGAGGTCTTTGATCATGCGAACAAGGGAGGTGCCGACTCCACGTGGGTATTTTAAGGCTTGGTGTCAACACCACTAGGCACAGAGTCCCCCATGTTAAGGGCTGATTCCCATCTGTTCTAATTTATCACAACACATTTGCAGATCCAGCACCACAGATCTGCACTCTGCCATCACAGACACATCTACTGTCCATCCCAAATTATGATTCATACTGTGTGCCTGGAAACAGCCCTGGTGTTTAACATAATACCTACACATAAAGCAATCCACTGTTCTAGCTTACACGGTCACAAGACATTAGTGATCTTCCCTAGGGCAAGCCATTTTTTTTTTTAAGATTTATTAATTTATTTGAAAGGCAGAGTCATAGAGAGGCAAAGGCAGAGGGGGAGAGCCAGGGAGAGAGAGAGAGAGAGAGAGAGAGAGAGAGAGAAAACGAGAGAGATCCTCTATCAGCTGGTTCACTCCCTAAATGGCTGCAATAGCCAGAGCTGAGCCATTCCGAAGCCAGGAGGCAGGAGCTTCTTCCAGGTATCCCACGCGGGTGCAGGGGCCCAAGGACTTGGACCATCTTCCACTGCTTTCCCAAGCCACAGCAGAGAGCTGGATTGGAAGTGGAACAGGCAGGACTCAAACCGGCACCCATAGAAGATTCCAGCACTGCAGGCTGTGGCCTTACCCACTATGCCACAGTGCCGGCCCCCAAGCCAATGATTTTAACCATAATTTTCATGTATCAAATTCACATTTTTAATCCCCAAGATTAAAAGTCTGCACCATACAAATAATAACTTAAAATACACACACACACACACACACACACACACTTCTTACAGAATTGTGCTTGGGGAAACTCCATTTGTTGAGTGCCACTGAAGCCATATTTTGCTAAATTGCTGTCAAGGTATTTTTGTTTGGAAAAGTCTATCACAGTAGGGCATATATAGCTGTTTATTGGATGCACAGAAAAGAAAGATAAACTTGTGGTAACCAGAACATTTTATGTATTTCAAGTTGAATACAGTGGACCTGCAGACACATTTATGTGTTCTCAGGATGTGACGTCAGTGCAAAAATGTGACATCAAACCAGTTGCAGAAAGTGTACAGCAGCCATCTTTTGAGGCCAAACCTGGTACACACTCATTTACATAGTCTTTTTTTTTTTTTTTTTTTTTTTGACAGGCAGAGTGGACAGTGAGAGAGAGAGACAGAGAGAAAGGTCTTCCTTTGCCGTTGGTTCACCCTCCAATGGCCGCCGCTGCAGCCGGCGCACCGCGCTGATCCTGGCAGGAGCCAGGAGCCAGGTGCTTTTCCTGGTCTCCCATGGGGTGCAGGGCCCAAGCACCTGGGCCATCCTCCACTGCACTCCCTGGCCATAGCAGAGAGCTGGCCTGGAAGAGGGGCAACCGGGACAGAATCCGGCGCCCCAACCGGGACTAGAACCCGGTGTGCCGGCGCCGCAAGGTGGAGGATTAGCCTATTGAGCCACGGCGCCGGCTCGTCTTTTTCTTTTTTTAAAGATTTATTTATTTGGCCAAAGCCGCGGCTCACTAGGCTAACCCTCTGCCTGCGGCGCTGGCACCCGGTTTCTAGTCCCAGTTGGGGCGCCGGTTCTGTCCCAGTTGCTCCTCTTCCAGTCCACCTCTCTGCTGTGGCCCGGGAAGGCAGGAACCCAAGGGCTTGGGCCATCTTCCACTGCTTTCTCAGGCCATAGCAGAGAGCTGGATCGGAAGTCGAGCAGCTGGGATTCGAACTGGGTCTCTATATGGGATGCTGGCGCCGCACCCCTACACTGCAGCGGCGAGCCCAGAGCGGTGGCTTTACCCACTGTGCCACAAAAGCCGGCCCCTTCCCGTCTTTCAAAAGCCTCGCGGGCTATTCCAGCTTGTGGGGTCCCGGAGGCCAGGAGGAACCAACCTGGAGAAGCAGGTGCAGTGCACGCCGGGGAGGGAGGCTGAATCTCCGCAATTCAACGGGCGCTCTGACGAAGGCCAACTTGGAAACGTCTCACCTCTGGGAACCACCATGCTCATGTTTCAAGTTCTGAAACATTGGCTTGGGCGGGGCCCGGGCGGCTGCAAGGTCTATGAGCGACCGGGCTGCAGCGAGCCGGGAGTGGGTGGGGCAGAGGCCGGGAGTGGGCGTGGCGGAGGCCGGGAGTGGGCGGGGTCAGAGGGGCGCGGCGCCGCCCCCGCCGCCCTGGGGGAAACGCGGGCTGGACAGCGCCCCCTGGCGCTCCGTGGGCCATTGCAGCGCGGACGCCCAGGCACCTGCTGCCCAAGCCCTGCCCGCTCCCCTAGGCGCCTAGGGCGCCTCTTGTGTCCGCGTTTTTAAAATGAAGACGGTGCGTAGCCCCGAGAGGCTGTACTGATGGAGTGAGGACCCCGAAAGCCTTCTGGGTTGCCTTGATGCTGTGTTTCTTTCATGGGTGTGAAAATGCACCCAGCTGTGCACTGAGGCGCTGGCATTTTGCTGCGGTTATGTTACACGTCTGTAAAAAGTGCACACGGAAAACCAGAGCCTGGCGCCTAAGGACAGGTCCCAACACGCAAGCCCTGCCCCCCGGCTCTCCCTCCTCCCAGCCTCTCTCCCCCCCTTTCCCTTTCAAACGGTGCTTTGAGGGGCTTGGTTGAGAGAGGAGAGAAGGTGCATCTTTGTCTTCGCAGCTACTCGTCATAGCTAAGTCCTCGGGGACTGCTCAGCTTCCAAATCCCGATGGTCGCCCGTGGGAGGGTTTGACGAAAAGCCAGATGGCGAGAGAATTGGGCATGGCCGTTTACTATTTGAAAGGTTCTTTCTGCCCATGAATATTAAACGCCACGCTAACCAGGACTGAATATTCTCCTAACTGGGTTTCCTGGCAGTTCTAAGAGAATTTCCTCTCGTGTCAGGTGGTGTGTGTGTGTGCATGGGCTCTTGCACGTTCTGTCTGGAGGCAGGAGCAGAGAGAGCCCTCTGTCACCTTGGGGAAGGAGAGGAAGATGCTAGGGGCAGCCCGGAGTCCTAGAAGGACATTT